TTCTGCCCACTAGCACTTTCTCATCAATTTTTCTTGGTGGTTTGGGAGTTTGGGGTGCTTTGAGGCTCACCTGCAGGAGGCAATTTGTATGCAGCCACCTTACTTTTCTGTGCAAGTTAATGTACTAGTATTGGTGTCATTTCAAGATGTAGTTTAACAGGAGATGGCGGGGCTACTGCCGTAGGAGAAACATCCTCTTCCCCCGTTTGCCTCTGCTCCTGGCCTCGTGATTTCACTGGTCGTCATACCCCTCCATGAGAAAAATAGATGTGACAAAAAAATGAAACCAACTAAAAAATACAGATAAATTTCTACTATGTTTTTAAATGCAAGTGGCTACTGGGAGGACCTGACAGTCAAGGAAGAGGATATAAGGGAGCATGTGGAAACAAACCCTGACAGGGAGAAAGAAGCGCAAGAGAGGAGGGAGGTGGGGATAAGACCTTCCTTTTTGGTTACCAGGAGCCGTTGGATGAACTCAGCTGTCTCTACAATTTTGAAAAATATATTTAAAGAAAGCTTGGATTCGTAAGCACATTTTCATTAGAAAGGTAGAGTTGTTTGTATATTTGGATTTTGGACTAATGTAAGGAAGGATTCAAGTAGATTTTCAACTTCATTTATTTATATTTTAATGAAGTGAAGCCATAGTGACACTTCAGCTAGGGTTTTATTACAGAATTCATTTTGATGTAGCAAAAGAGATAAATGCAATGCTGTATACTAATTTAATGGTTTGCTGCATGTTTTTATATTATCCCAGAAACATTGTGATACACAGTCTAACTTAATACTGTAAATGAATAGTTTTGTAAGAGCAAATTGATAATGGTTTTTCCCCTCTGACTTTCAAGAGATGATTTGTAGGTTGGTGGCCGAGCTCTGCTGAAGTTAATGGTGCTTCAGACAGCAAAGAGGGTCTGCCTAATTAGCTCTGTCTGAAATAACTATTGTCTTCTAGAAATGCATAGAAGAAGATGGCTAAAGGAGTGTTAACAAAAGCAGTAAACTGAAAAGATGTTGTATATACACCCCTCAGAAGGGAAATAAGATAGCATGAAGGTTTAGTAACGAATAGCTTGCAGCCTGCTATATTAGCACGCTTGTTACCTAATTTGCTGTACAGAGATGAAGCAGGGTGCATGGGAGTTAGTGTAACTGCAGGTTTGCAATTTCTGAACTTGTGAAGCGTGAAGGAATGTGCTCCTTATGGAGCCTTCTCAGAATCCGGGCTTGGGTGAAGGATTTGGGAAACATGCTCTGACTTCAGTCTGAGTTTTGCCTGGCATGTATCACACAAATTTGATATAAAGTTTATATCCTCCCTAATGTGACTTTAGTCTCCCAGTGCACGTTTGGAAGTCTCCAGATTTGAAATTGAAAAACCCATTTTTTCTGCATTCTAAAATGCAGTTTTGAAATATGTTATTATGAAGAAATGTGCTTATTTTTGTAACTGAAAATGCTCTTTTTCTCTGTGTGTATAGTTGTATTTACATATTTACTATGGGCTCTTTCAAGTTGGAATTTCATGTTGTGTTAGTACAGGAATACTGTTCCTACTCATTGTGGATCACATTCAACAGTACCTGTAAGAGTAAGTTTGAGGAATATTATTTTTTTTCTGTGAATGAAATACCCCGTATTTCACAAGAAGGCAAGCATGGGATCCTTCTAGCATGTTTTCACGCAGCCTGTAAAGTTTCCACGTGAATCTGGGAACTGTTGACACACCTCTGCTGAGTCCTGTATGTGCCACTTTGTTTTTGTTATGTAGCAGTAAAGCCCAGAACCGTTTGCTATGCTGTGAAAATGCACATTTTTCCCAAGCCATTCATATGAACGCTTCAAATGAGGAGCAGCCCTTTACTGGTTCTTTTTAATAGCTTCATGTGCAGATATGCATTGACTTATGCAAGGATGCAATAAAGCAGAAAGAAACCCAACAACAAAAACAATACTCTGGATGTCTTGAATGACTTACTGTAGCACTGCATCAGAGCTCGCTGTCCACAACAGAGTAAACAGAAACTATTTTTGAAGTGACAGACCAGAGTAAAATTGTCTAACACTCTTCATTTTACTGATGCATCATGTGGAGGTCCAGAAGCCACATTAGAGAACTGTAATCCTTCATCAGAGCATTTGTTTGGTTGCCTAACATCTGTGGATTGTTAAGATAAGTTATTACACAAACCTGCTTTAGTTTAGATTAGTTTGGACCACATCCCAGTATATTCAATCAGGATATAATTCCTGCATGCTGCTAAATTGCTTGCTACACATACTTCTCTAAAAATGTTTTTCAATATACAGTTTTGTCATTGAAACTCTTCTGTCACCTCAAGTTTTGAGTTTTTTTCCCCTTAAGGAAAAGTTTTTATTATTTTTCCTTTTGGACCGAATATATCTCAAGGCAAACGTAGCATTTATTAAATCCTGAAGATATTCCTAAACAGGGATGGTAGTGTAGCTTCTGTGTGAGTATAATGCAGATTTCCTACGTGTGTCATCTGTGGTGATTGGTATGTATTGTGTCCAAACTGCAGTCTTTAAAGACAGCTGTAAGAAAATGGTTTTGTATTTACATGTCTTGTATTTCTTCCTTCTGTATTCTGTATTTTTCTGTGTCTATTTGTGCATTAGCTATTCCTATTTGTTTGACTCTCATAATATTTTGCATAAATGAATTGCAATATCAAAGGTGATTATTTAAATTAATGGTAATTTATTGAAGTTTATTACATACTTTATACGTATTTAAAATTATCAAATACATTAAATTGTAAATGAAGTCTGTTACCATCTTTACACATTTAAATGTTCTTGCATACATACACACATATATGATTTAACTAGAATATTTAAATTTTACTTTAGTATTCCTTATCCTTACTTCAAACAAACCCTAGTTGATTTTTTTTTTTAAACATTTTTTTCAACTTTCCCTGTAAACTGATAAAATACAGGGAATGACATCTTTTTCATTAATGATGTTGGTTTATAGCATTGACATAGATTTTTATACACAGATACATGTATCTTGCTGTCTAATGAGCTAACAATTCTCAGTCTATAAAGACATTTAAAAATATGGGGTTTATTTCTTTTAGTCTTGTTGGGTTTTTTTTAATATCTGTAATAATACCAGATAGACTAACAATCTATTCTGTTAGACCAGATAGTCTGCTCAACTGAATCTCTGTTTTGTGTGGTATACTAGATGGGAGGCAGTATGACAATCAAGGGATTTTTTTTATTAAAAGACTAGCATTTATTTTGTCGATGTTGCTGTTCCTGTTATCCTACTGAGGGTTATCTATTTTAATCATAATACATGTTTGTGCCACTGTTCAAATAACTGTAGCTTTTGGTTACTGTTTTTTTAATTAAATTTTGTTATGCTTCTTAAATAGAAGTAGTATAACAGTCATCTTTTGATAAAGGCACAATCCAGATACAGGGAAAAGCGTTGGATGTCTTCTCAGTGTAATTTGGTCAAACAGTGCAGAAACGGTATTGGAATTTCTGATTTAGTGTTCAGACCTAAACAGATAGTCTGTTCTAGGATGTTTTGAATAAATCTTAATTATGTTAAATATGTAAATGCCTAAAATTTTCATCATACCATGTAAGATATGCACTTTCTCACCAGGCCAGAGAATAAGAGACCTCAGTACCAGAGCTTTGTCCTGTTGCAATTTCTTCCCTGAACTGATTGGGTTTTTTTCTGTTCCATTTAAGTGTTGTATAATTTTGCGACTGTTGCGTCATTCCTTTGTTTACAGAAAATAATTTAAGCATATTTTTATTCCAACTTTTGTCATCCTTCTTACCCTCTTTACAGTTTTACCCAATCTTCTACTTCTTTCCACATTAAACTAAAAGATTTTCTTTACCATTTTTCTTATTAGCTATCAGCTTTGTTTCCTATTTTCATTTCTGACAAAGTTCCTACCTCTTATATATCTTCATGCATTTTGCCTTTTTTGTTCTTCTGCTTCAAAATTCCTTTTGTCTTTGTCACAGATTTTAGAGTCCTGATTAACCTTTTATTTTTTTCTGGTGATTTACTCCTGTACATAAGACTGTCTTATACAGTATATGAACTTGAAACATAGAGTCTTGCTTCACTATGTGTGCTCCTGTTTATCTGTGTATATGGAATTAAAAAAAAAAAAAAAAAAAAGTTTAAAAAATCCTAAGAAGCACTGTTTATGTACACAGCTTAATTGTGATTGCCAGGGACACATGTTTAATTTATTTATTTACAATTTACAGCTATAATTCAAAGAGATGGTAAATTATCATTTCCAATTAGTACAAAATATGGTACTTCTACGTTCATTTCATTGGTGCATTTAGTTCTCTGTTAGTAGGTTTCTTTAGGTTTTACTGTACATCTCTGGTAAGTAGTGGATGCAGCTAAAACCATGCACAGTAAATGCTGAATTTCTTTGCAGGATAATGTTGAGTTATGTTACGCAAGAAAAATTAATTGCAGGGCAATACCATAGCAGTTTTCTGTGGCAGCAGAGGTTGGGAATTAGCTGGGCAGGACTCCTCCACCCGAGGTACAAGTCCCGTTTACAGTCTAATAGGCTTGTCCTGACAGCGATTCACACTAAGGAAAACAACGCAAACCACCCCCACCCCCCCACCCCACCCCCAACTGCATCGACACCAGCAACAAACATTGGTCATGTTGTCGGTGTTTGTTCAGAAGAGAGCTAGGGCTGGGCTGAGCGGAGAGTGCTGCAGGTAGGACTGTTGTATATTGACAGCACATTTTGGAGAAGCTCGCATAGCATGTGCCTGTAGGATGCTTGGCTCTAGCCAGTGCAGTTAGTGCTTGGAGAAGCATGTTCTGGGTCCTGTTGTGAGCACCAACCTCACCAGTTTAGAGGAGAGTGAGAGATGGTACCTGCTCTGTGATAGTGAGCATGCATTTCAGGGTCTGAGGGGTAGCTGCACTGACTATTCTTGTTGTTTTCAACTAGGTTATGTGGGTATGCAATTTATGTCGAAAGCAACAAGAAATCCTAACGAAATCTGGAGCGTGGTTTTTTGGAAGTGGACCGCAGCCCTCGCCCAGCCAGGATGGAACACTGAGTGATACAGCGACTGGTGGAAGTTCGGATGCACCAAGAGAAAAGAAAGCAAGACTTCAAGAGCGATCAAGATCACAGACTCCCTTAAGTACAGCAGCTGCCTCATCACAGGAAATCTCTTCTTCCACTGTGCAGTCTGATCGGAGGAAAGGAGCAGAAGTATCACAGCCAGCTATGGGCCTGGACCAAAAACAAGTTTCATCAAGGTCTAGAAGTGAACCTCCAAGAGAGAGGTAATGCTTTCTGTCTTGACAGAGCCTTGCAGTTATAAATGCTAGTTCAGTAATATTACGCAGGGCTTTCAGCTGGGGTTTGCATGTAAGAACAAAGAATAAATTGATTTACTGACCATGGAAGGAAGTGTTCATTAGCGAATACATTGTCTGATTGAGTCTGTGCAACAGAAATGAGGAAAAATAAAATAGTTGTCTTTTAGGGATAATTTCCCTGTATGTAAGTGCATTTTGCTGTACACTTTTAATATAGAATTGTAGGTTACTTTTAAATTTGGCAGATATTTTAAAGTTGTTAAGCAAAGAGCAAGCCTTTAACTTGATTACATAATGTATTAGAATTTTAAAAAACCACCACATACCACCCCCTCACCCCGCCCCAACAAAAAACGCAACTGAACAAAAAAAACCCCCACCCTCTGGAGTTCTGTTAGATATCATTATGTGTTATCTTTTTATCAGTGACTGTACTATTTTTAATAATAAAACAGGAACTATTAAAAGAGCTTATTTACACCTGTAAAGTAAACATTGGTGAAGAACAGCAATAGTACCATCTTGAATTCAGAGCAAGTTATATGCAAGAATAAAGCCAACCATAAGCAAACTATTCTGTTTGAAGTGAGTAAATGAGTAAATTCCTGAGCTGCATTCACTGTAATGAATGGATTGAGGAGTAGCACATCAAGAGAGGGTAATGTGATGAAGCAGTTGCTGTTCTTTTGGCTGCTGCCTGGCAGATGGCAGAGCAGTCGAGGAGGGAGCCTGTGGCAACAAAACAAGAGTCTGCCATAGAAGATCCTCTCTTGGCCAGAACAGTTGCTGATTTTTTGTTTTTCATAGCTATTAAAGTTGAAAATGGATGAGGAATAGTGGTAGTAACTTACTGTGTGGGTGAGGTCTGTCTGGGTTTAACTGGACCAAAACTCAGGTTAGTGTTATGTACATGTATGACGTAAATGAACACGTGGTGCCCTCCCTTGATTCCATTGACTTTTTTCCCCCAGCACTGGGAAGGCCCCCAGAGCAGTCATCGCTCAGCTGAAGGACGGTTTTAGGACAGAAAAATACTTTCTGTTTCTGCTTTGCTGTCCAAAAGTGAGACGGTTATATTAGTTATACAGTAGTAATGTTGTCTACTTGTCACCGAGACTTTCAAATGAAGTCCAAGGGTTCTGAATGGAGAGCATCTGTGGTAGGCTCAGGTCCCATTTATTGCCAAAAGCTCAGGAGGAACAGAAGATGGAGAAAAAGGAGACAGGAGCTTAACTTGGATCAAATCCAATTTTGCCTGACCTGTCTGATGCATCTGTGGAAATCTGTGATATGTAATCTTGGCATATCAGTTGTGGAAGGGAAGATTCAGTGCCACAAAACAAAGTCCTAGTGACTTTGTCCTGGTGCAGGTTCATCTGAAATACAGTGTATAGCTGTGTTCAGCCTCCTTCAAAATTGATGGGTACATATGTGAACTAGTAAACAAAAGGGCAATTGGAATGATGAGAGAAATAAAAATATCCAGTATAAGGGGATTTTATGATTCTTTGGCTTGCTTATTCTCCCAAAGCAGAAGATGAAAGGAGAGAGACCATAATTTTCTGGCAGCTTCATTGTTCTGTACTTTGGCTGTATAGAGAAATAAGTTATTTTTCATCCTCTTTTATTACCAGAGAAAGGAATGCCATTAATTTTTCTCAAGGAGTCAATTTGCTTTTCTTTATATGCTTATGAAATGAGCGCTTCTTTTTAGAGTTCTAATAAGATAAAACAAACTAAGTCAAACTTTATTCATTCTGGATAGATTCTCTTTCGCATTTTTTATGTCCGTATTAATTACTTCTGTAATGTCATTGTGGGAGAGACTCCATATCGTGGTAGTTGTCTTTATATTGTCAGAGTGCTTGAACTGAATTGTGTGTATGTGGTCAGTCTGTAACCCTCATGACTGCTGCCAAATAAATGGAGAACATGCTCCAATACTTTGTCATAGTGCTGCAGTTACTACCAAGGTCATTTTGAATCTTCCTACTTATGTGGGTGAATTACTTTTGTCTGCATTTCTCCATGTTAATATTCTTTGTGATTTTACTCATTAATTGGACCATCCATAATTAATGTTTTTATGGACTCTGGAACTCGTTTGCTGTTGGAAAACAAAAGTACTGCTGGAAGGATTAATAGAGATAATTCATGTTACTGGATCCAGTACCTTTCTATATGTTTTGCCGTAGCTTATCTTGCTTTATAATCTATTTATCATAGAATCATAGAATAATTAGGTTAGAATAGACCTTTGAGATCATCAAGTCCAACCGTCTACCTAGTACCGCCATGCCCACTAAATCATGTCCCAAAGTGCCACATCTACACGTTTTTTGAACACCTCCAGGGATGGTGACTCCACCATTTCCCTGGGCGCTTGTTCCAATGTTTGACCATTCTTTCGGTAATGAAATTTTTCCTGATGTCCAATCTAAACGTCCCCCAGCACAACTTGAGGCCATTTCGTCTTGTCCTATTGCTAGTTACTTCAGAGAAGAGACAGACCTCCACCTCACTACACCCTCCTTTCAGGTAGTTGTAGAGAGTGATAAGGTCTCCCCTCAGCCTCCTCTTCTCCAGGCGAAACAACCCCAGTTCCCTCAGCCCCTCCTCGTAAGACCTGTTATCCAGACCCTTCACCAGCTTCATTGCCCTTCTCTGGACTCACTGCAGCACTCTAATGTCTTTCTTGGAGTGAGGGGCCCAAAATTGCACACACCATTCGAGGTGCAGCCTCACCAGCGCCGAGTACAGGGGCACCATCACCTCCCTACTCCTGCTGGCCACACTATTTCTGATACAGGCCAGGATGCTGTTGGCCTTCTTGGCCACCTGGGCACACTGCCGGCTCGTGTTCAGCCGGCTGTCAACCAGTACCCCCAGGTACCTTTCCAGCCACTCATCCTGAAGCCTGTAGCACTGCATGGGGCTGCTGTGACCCAAGTGCAGGACCCGGCACTTGGCTTTGTTAAACCTCATACAATTGGCCTCAGCCCATCGATCCAACCTGTCCAGATCCCTCTGCTAAGCCTTCCTACCCTTGAGCAGACCAACACTCCCACCGAATTTAGTATCTGCAATTATAACAGTGTACTGTAACACTGTTGTGTTGTACACCGTATCATAACAGTGTACTCAAGTGTTGTTATTTTGCATTCAATTCATAAAATTATTGTACTCCTTTTCATTGTAGGAAGAAGACAATATTGGTTTCAGACCAGAATGGCAAAGGTTTAAAGAGTGAGCGTAAGCGTGTGCCAAAATCCTCGCTTCAAAAAGAAGGACCAGTGGATGACAGGGAGCGTAAGGAACGGCATGAAGGTAGAAGGCTGGAGAAGGGCAAGTCACAGGACTACCCAGACTTGCCAGAGAAACTTGAGGAAGGCAAAGTGCCTGATGATGAAAAACAAAGGAAGGAAGATGAATATCATACCCGTTACAGGAGCGACCCCAATCTGGCAAGATATCCTGTAAAACCACACCCTGAGGAACAACAGATGCGCATGCATGCGAAGGTTTCTAAAGCACGGCATGAGAGAAGACACAGTGATGTAGCTTTGCCACATACAGAAATGGAGGAAGCGGAGGTACCTGAGAATAAATTAGGAAAACGCTCACAATTACAGGGAACTCAGGACAGAAAATCTCTTGTGGAAACTCAGAGGTCGTACTCTATAGACAGAACAGGTGATGTAAGAATTTCTGTTTCTAAACAATTAACTAATCATAGCCCACCAACTCCCAGGCATAGTCCAGTTCCTATAGAACACGTAGAATACAAGAACCACGATTCCTTTAAAAAACAGAGCCGCCTTGATCCTAGCTCTGCTATTCTCATGCGAAAAGCAAAGCGGGAGAAAATGGAGACCATGCTAAGGAATGATTCCCTTAGCTCTGACCAGTCGGAATCAGTGCGGCCATCCCCTCCAAAGCCTCATAGAGCAAAAAGAGGCGGAAAGAAAAGGCAGATGTCAGTTAGTAGCTCAGAGGAAGAAGGGGCATCAACACCAGAATATACTAGCTGTGAAGATGTGGAGATAGAAAGTGAAAGTGTCAGTGAAAAAGGTAAGGACCTTTATGTATATTATGCACATGGCCATGGTTTTGGGGAAAAAAAATAACTTGTATTTTTCTCTCTTTTGCCTCTGTTTTTAAACATAAACCTTTGTTTTCCCCCTTACCTTTCCTTTTTTTTTTTTTTTTTTTTTTCCAACTGAGAAGTGTCTTATACCTGTTTACATTTGGTTTGCAATGTTTACTTTTGCATTCTTAGATGAGGTGGTTACAGGTAGCATCAGCTGATGAGTTTCTTTCTCATTCTCTTTCTTCTTTCACCTAAAACTGTCAGAATTTAAGGCTTCTAGTTTATTCTCTTGATGGTATCTGTACTCCTTTGGCCATTGCTTCATCCTTTTGTCTGTATGCAGAATAATTTACTGTGAATGAATTGAAATGGAAAGCGAGTTCTGTAACAGTCTGAGAAGACCATTATAAAGCATCATAATCTTACTGAGACCTCAGTCTTAAGATATGCATTTTTTTAACTACATTTAATAAAATATCAAGGATCTGCCAGAGTTCATTGTTAACAAGGACAGGATATGGGGCAAGGGGAGTGTTATATAGGAAAGACATGGGAATTGCTTAACTTGTCTAGATGAATTTGTTCCCAAGCTTACAGGTATGTTTAAAATCTGTTACTTCAGTTTGTCTTCATCTGTGGATGGTAACGCTCAGCAGTAAGGAATGAGTGTAGTACACTGTGTGCTTTTGAACAAAGACTTTCTTCTGGCTGAAGAAGTTAATCAAATTCATGAATAGTGAAGAGTTAAAATAAGCATCGTCAGAAAAGACTGTAGTAGAACCTAGAAACTGTCTTATAACCCTAACTTGTTTTTAAGTGACGCTACAGTAGCTGAAGGCTGTTTGTATCTTTGGCAGTAGCTTTTAGCTCTTTAGTTTCATTATCTGTGTTTGTAACTTGAAAGTTTTCTGCTGGTGCTCATACTCAAAATGCCAATGGCATGTCTGCGTTGCCTTTTAGTTCCTGGCACTGTTTCCTGACATGTCTTTGATTCATATATGCTAACCTGTCTGCCTGTCTTTATCTGATGTTGCTGTTTCCTGACATCCCCTAAAGCTCCAGGTATACTTATAAAAAGACACAACATTCCTCTGCTATCCCATCTGAATAGCTGCTTGTTTTAACTTTCTAAGCGTGAACTTTTCTGTTCAAAGCGTGGAAGCTTGCTTTTCTGCACATTTTTAAGGAGGGATGGTGATCATGCCCCTGAAATCTTAATCCAGATTCCCCTTAGACATAAAAACCCCTCACTTTTTTGACTGCGTGTGTGGTCAAACACTAGAACATATCGCACAGAGATGTTGTGCAGTCTGCATCCTTGGAGATGCTAAGAGCCCAAATGGAGAAGGCCCTGAGCAATCTGCTCTAGCTGACCCTGCTTTTGAGCAAGGCTGTTTGAAATAGGGACTTACTGAGGTCCCTTCCAGTCTCAACTGTTCTGTCTTTCTAAGTGAACGCGTCTCTCCTTTATTTTGTGGCGATGTTTTATGCTGACATTTGTATTTGTATAGTTTTCCCTGACTTCCTCTGTTGGTAGTAGTGGTCTGTAATACAGCATTTCCTTTCCATCTTTGTTATTTGCTTTCATTTATGTGCATCAGTTTGAGATTGCTTATGATGTAGAAGGGTTTTCCCTTATTCCTTGAGGGGTATCATTATAAACTGGAAGCTCATTGATGTGAAAATCAAGTCCAGGCTGAAAGTCATTGATATAGTATGTATCAGTATGTTGATATAGTTTGCTCTATAATGGTCCTTTGTAAGTAAAACCTTTTGATAGTTGCTTTCAGGCTCATGACACTGATCTCAACATTTGACCAATTTCCCATTGTTTTGTTAGACGATTAAGGGTTGTACTTTTTTCCTTCAGTGTTAGGAATCCCACAGGATTTCAAATGTCGCTAAATGCTTATGTTCTCAATGATGGAATCAGGTTCTTGGTTACCTCCGAGACAGGTATTTAGGCTTCCCCTGTAGACAGTGGAGGCCTTGGTCTGTATCATATCACAGTGCTACCTCACTGTATTGGAATAAAAATTATAAACAGGAGTATGTTAGGGCCTTGTCTGACCACTGCCGACTCAATACTTGGTTAAAATTGTTGAGCTTTCCTTGAGAACTTAACTTGTCAGTAAGCTAGCACCGTGTTACTAATCAGAATATATATATTTACACATATGTATGTGGATATATGTATGTGTGTATGCAATGCGTTAATTACAGAAATATATTTATTAATTTAATAGCTGTGAGGAGTAGCTGTTAATGTTTTTTCTTTTTTTGCTTGATCTTGGTATGAATTTTGCCATCCTTGTCATAGGAAAAGAAGTGGAAAGCCTTTGAAGCTAGGGGTATAATACAGAAAAAGATCTAGGAAGTGTGACTACAAATAAGAAAGCAGGAGCATTTTTAGTAGTAAAGTATCCAATTATTTTTACAATTACATTTTCATCAGTATTTGAAAAAATCTGTAGTATTTCATGAGAATAGATGGAAAGGCAGGAAATTTTATTACCTAAGAAAATATTTTAGAATTCTTTTCTATATTTTAAAAGAAAAAATGCCACAGTAAAAGGGTGTAGTGCTAAAAAATTTATGCAAATAATTAAAAATGCCCCTATTGTAACCAAGGTCAGAATCCCATTCTTTGCAGCATTATTGCAAGCAGAATTTTTCCCACCATTCCTTCAGTGCTTTGCTCGTAATTTGAGAGAGATAATGCACAGGTCCCTAGTTGTAGTGCTTTGGTTTATAAGCCCAGGAGGGTCTGGAATCCATCCTCTCTTATCTAAATATCAGCTCAGTCATAAATCTGGTGCCAAAGTAGTATAAATGGAGCTAGAAAGACAGAATTACTGCAAATAATTTTTTTAACTTTGAACAGCCTTACTAAGAAAAACCCAGATCTTAATGTTCACATTTGGTGAGTGCCAATATAAAGCAATCAGCTTTATACTGAGTAATAAAGATGCGCTATTTTCAATTCTGTTTTGAACAACTGAAATAGAGGTTTTCTGTGGAAGTCAGCTTACAGAGATGTTTAAAAGAAAATGATGACTCACAGAAATGTAAGGTACAGGTAGAGTGGATAAGACTATATTGAAAGTCAGTAGCCAAATATGACATATAAAGTAGATACTGCTTAAAAGTTATTTTTTAACCTTTGCATTTCCCAGAAACACGGTTTAGGATTGCATTACCCTGTCTTCCGAGCACAAAAACACTTCTAAAAGTGATATTCATAAATACGAACCAAGCTAATTTACCTAGTACATCCCCTACTGTTTACTGTAACTATTTAATATGTATTTCTTCAAAATTATTAACAAAATAATTCACAAGCATTGAAGTTACTTTCTTTTAAAAGAATAAATGTCTTGTGATCCAGTGGAATTTTGGTTTTTTTCGGCGGAGGACCCTGTAATTCATGTCGAGTTGTTTCCATGTTGGGGTAAATCTAGAGATAGAACTGTTTAGCAGTAGTAATCTCAAATTTCTTTAAAAAACAAAACAAACCAAAAAACTCCCTTTACAGGACACTATTACTGATTGCTGATAATAATTTTCATCCTGTTATTAATGCAAGCTGTAGGACTCCTGATTCTGAAATCGGTAATAGTTGAACATTGGGTGGACTGGGTTTCCAGTGGCAACGCTGTCTTCTTAGAAGGCGTAAATTACATTCATACTCACTTCAAAGACTTGCTAGAATGACATAAACCAGACTATTGCAAATGAAATCCAGACCTCATTTTAAAACTGAGAACAGCTTCTGCCTACTACCGTCCAATGAAGAATGCAAGTTAGAATTGGAGTAAGTTTGAGAAAAAATTACTTTCTTTAGCGTTTAAAACCGTGTATTTATGTAGAACTAGTTTGTTTGTGTCCAGATGAGGTTGTATGTGACTTCTTTTACCCCGTGATAGATGCAAGAGATATTCTAGTCTTTGAAACTGGAAGATAAAATAGTGTTGGAAATTGGAACAGTGTGAGGAGGTACTGAAAGCTGCTCATGTACGTTTATGCAAATAGATGTGCTAATGGTTTTACATTTTACATACTCATTGTTCATGTTTGCCTAAATGTGTATTTTTTTCACACTGTCTAGGCTTGAAAATATGCCTACTACTTGCATATTGTCAGCAAAATGGTAAAAAACTAAGTAAAACTCACTTTGTATACTTGCTAATGGGTTTAACTGGGAGTGAGGACAGCACAACAGAGTTGGAACCTTGTTTGAAAACAGCCTCCTCAGATGACATTGCGGTTTCTTTCAGTGAAGATGTGATCGTTTCTTTCATGATGCCTTTCTTACAGTACTGGGAGGAACAGAGCGACCCAATTTCATTTCATTCTTATGACATTACCCTTCTGGTCAGAAGTGTGAGGGGCAGGGATCTTGCTGGGATCTTGGTGTATACGCAGGTGTGATGTAGGCGGGTTGTGACCAGGAGGAGAGGACCTGGAGGTCAGAAGGAGAAAGGGACGCTGTGGTTTGCAGATAAATGTGTCAGTGCAGGCTTGGTTTCAGGAGGAAAGGATCCAACCCCTTCCTCCATTCTCCTCTGGTGTTTTGAGTGCTGCTTTGGGTGGTTGTGCTTGGGTGTGCTACCCGGGGAAGGACAGCATAAATTAAATCCCTGCCTCAGTGATGTCTTCCATGTGCTGTAGCATTGTTGGCAGAGAAGGTAGCTCGTGGGCTAGGAGAGAAACTACGTGTGTGCGTACGTGTGTATAAATGGACCAAAAGAAAATATCAGGAAAAGGCTATAGAGGAGAGGAGGCTGGTTTGAAATGTTTTTAGCTAAGCTTTTTCACTGAGGTATTTTAAATATGGAGTGTAGGCAAGTCAAGTTGTACTGTAACATCTGCTAGCATATTTAAACATCTGTTCGTGTGGAGAGTTAGGCATGGAGTTTTAAACAGAGCTGAATTTGTTTAAAAATGTAACTGAGCTTTAACTTAGTGTAAGATAAAATAC